TTCTGATACCCTTTATTTGACCACAAAATTGAGAAATTGGGTTAAATGTGACCAACCAAGTCTTCCACCAGCAGCGCCGATAACAAAAGAAGGAACAAAAACACCGGCTGGGACATTGATAGAGATGCAGACAGCTACCAACAGAAACTGAAAGGGGGCTATTCTTTCAAATTTATTCTAGCAAATTACTTCCTTCCCAAAATTATTTTTCACTTACGTAGACCAGGTAGTAAGAAATGAGTGATGTGAAAATGGTTACTGCTCCTTCGCCGGTCCAATGTAGTATCAATTGTTCGGGGCATCTGTAATAAAATTTATAGGCAGCTACTTTTATGGAAATCTTCTTTAAATAGAGAAAAGTATTTTCTCCAAAGATAGGATTAACCAAGAAAAATTTCAACTCTTCAAATTTTAAAATTGCCAAAATCTACATCATTCGCAGAAAGCAATTACTAACCTTCTTGAAGATTCGTTTGTATACCACGTACAGTTATTGAAGAAATCAGCCATTGTCTCCCGAAAAGTCAACTAAAGGAAAACTTTTGTGGTTGCTATACATGAAGTTAAATAAAAAAAGAAATGTTTTCAAAGCTTTAATTTTTTTTGCAAAATCCCTCAAACTTCATCGTATATGCGGGATCACTCATCGCTTATATGTTTACACGATCTTCGTCACTTCCCCTTAGTTGTCGTCACCAGCTTTAGAAGCCGGATCTTATCGCTGGCGAGTCCCACAAATCATTTGTCCGCCCATCAAATTAGCGTAGTCCGAAAATAGCTCCATCCGGCATTAAAATAGAAGCAGTCGGTCGAAAGTACACCCATTTGTGTTATACTCAGACAAAAATAGTATTGGGAATAAGTACGAAGTTGTGCGTAAAGTTTTGCGTTTTTGACTTAACCTAGGTTACATCATATCTTGGGCCAGGACAACGATAGTCAGTTATTCGAAGAGTATTACGAATCTGAAAATCTAGCTAATAAAATAATTCGCATATGCGTTTGTATCTAAAATTCTGAAAGCAGAAAATTCATCAACTCTCCTTTGATATGAGTGATGTTTCCAAACACTTTCTTATACAGAAAATTGTCCAAAGGCTTTGAGCTTTTTTTCTCAAGTTTTTGAATGGGTTGACCGATATGGCGGAAAGGAGAATGTCACCAGTTTAAATCAAATTTTACAAGATCGAAGCTAGCAGCTTGTGATGTTTTGC